TTATTATTATTATTATTATTATTATTATTATTATTATTATTATTATTATTATTATTACTATTATTATTATTATTATTATTATTATTATTATTAAATTAAGTGTATAATGTGAATAAGTAATTTTTTTGGATTTTATAGATTTCCTTCGCTGAAAGAAAAATATATTTTTTGAAAATTCTAACTTTTTTCTTTCTATAAAACAAAATTCTCATCTCCCACCTTCAAACAAAATAATAAAATATTTATAAAATAACACATTCTGTACAATAAGAACCACTTCTATTATTGAATGGGTCGGCGGCACCAGCAGTACCCCATACTGAAGGCACCAAATGATCCTTGGTAGATTGAATGTATTTAATTAACCTTTGAAAACGACAAGGAGTTAGATTGTTAATTAATCTATCAATCATCTATTGAATCATTGCCATGGGATACATACATTGAACTTGCCTGTGATACTTTTATTCTTGGTAAATCTAATTGTTCACGAAGTTTTTTATTATGTTCAATAATACGCTGAAGCTTCATTTCAGAAATATTTTTTGTTGTTGAAGTTGTTCTTGTTTCCATTTTTTATTTATTTATTATTATGTTTTGAGGAAAATTTAAAAAATTATATTTGCAAATGTTGTAGATTGTATGTATTTATATTTATATTTTTTTATATTTATTTTTTTTTCTTTTATTATTTAAAAAAATTAAAAAGTTGGTTATTAGATAATTATGAATGATATTCATAACGACTGACAAAACAAAAGAATTCATACATACATAAATACATACTTCTCTTTGCTTTTAACATTTGTTAACAACCCAAACTAAAAATATTTGATTATTTTTCTATTAAAAAAGACTTTTTTGTAATTAAAAATCAACATTTTATGCATTGTAACAATATCCGAACAAAGGGATTTTCCTTGTGGCGATTGAACACAAATAAAAAGGAATTTAGTATCACATTTTTTTATTACACGATTAATCCCCTTCCTTAAAAAAACCTCTCCTTACATTGAACCTATCCTAATACTAAATACAAGTCCTACGTAGACAGTCTACAATAAGGTGTCTCATATGTAAGCCCCAACGTCACGAACGGCTCTTGTTGTTTTTCTGTAATATACTTCAAAAAGTACATTACGAGCTCCATTTGCATCTCAATTAATAGTGGATTTGCAAGATGTACAATTAAAAAATCTTTATCCGTACGATTTGCTAATGTATTCCTCGGTGCAGACGATGACCTCGAACCAAGGGTACTCGGGGAATTTGTGGAGCAAAACGGTAATGTGACCGGGTCAACATTTATTTGTCTTGCAGTTTTAGAGTGGATTTTCTAAAACCGTATTTTTTAACCATGCCTTGTGTTCTAAATCCAGGAAGCAAAACTACATGTGGTTTTCGCGCAACAATTTTGCTAACCTTCGATGACACCATCCACAAGATTACGAATTTTCTTGTGTGTTCACCTTGTATTCTGCCGTAATGTAAGCAAAGTGACGTATCCTCTTTTTCCCATTCTATAACCTTACTACTTGGATTATAGTCAGCCATGAAGGTTCTCATTCCTAGTTCAAGAGAAATGATGGTGCCAGCGTCTCTATTCTCTTCAACTGCCGAAAATTTAGGGCCTTGGTCATCAGCCTGAATTTCGAGTGGTTTGGGGGATACACAAATAGAATTCACTAAGACGATTCATGGTGAGGCGAAGGTCATAATTCATTGGTATTTTTTTACTTGCTTTAATACCTTTGAGAAATGAATAATGTCCACGATTTTTTCCCTCATTCTCTTGATAGAATGATGATTTATTCTTTTTAGACCTGAATTTCAATTAAAGTTATCTCAATATTTGTCTTGTAATGGTTTAAAAGGTCAATCATTGCTGTATAATGTGTGCCAAGAATCCACTCAAATCTGGTGCCTTTAAGTTTTCCAGATCTATTAATGATATAATTTCACGTAAATATTTTCTATGTCCAACGCATAGTACCAATCTATTTTAATATTTTGTTTTTTTTCCAAGAGTTTTTCTGCTGGAGGATTTTGGAAGAGGAGGTCGAAGATGAGAGAATAACATTCTCAACTTTAAAAGAAGAAGAAGATGAGATGAAGTTAAATTCTCATTTATAGAAGAAACTACATCTTTAAAACTTTCATGTTCCATCTGGTAAATGCGAAAGATTATTTAAATCTCTATATGTTGATTTAACCGAGTCAACCGTAATCCATAAACCAAGAGCGAGTCTTTTAAAGAGTCATTTCATTGACTTGAGCACAGTAATTCCCTATTAGTTTTTAAGGGTAACCAACGCCAATTTGTGAATTTTTGAATGAATTCGTCTAATAGTGGCTTATTATATCTTCAAAGAAGCTGGGACGAGTCACAGCCAACTGAAAAAAAATTTTAATAAAAGTTTTTATTTTAAAAAAAATAGGAGAATTATTATTATTATAATTTTTCGAAAATCCGTCACAACAAAAAATTCGTTATATCGAGAAGAACTTTATTATAGTTTATTATTTAATCGTCTTGGACCTCAATCTGTTAAATCGGGTATGCTAAATCGAGATTCACTGCGTAAAAATATTTTCTGGTTGTATGTTTGTGAGATTAATCATGAAATCAATCAATTAGGCATCAAAAAAATATTTTTGATTGTATGTACAGTGTGTTTCAAAAAAAACCGGAAAAATTAAATCAATCATTGTGGAACAACCACTGCATTGATTTGTATGAAAAATGGCTCATTCAATAGATTAAAAGCAAAACATTTTATTAACTATACTTTAATACAAAATGCTTTCACTATCAGTTTTAATTATAAACCAACATCTTGATTTTTTGATCAAATTAAACTAATTAGAAACAAATCAAGAGTTAGATCTCATTTTTTTATAATGGATTGTCCTAGACCTTGAAGATTTGACTTTTATTCCATTATTTGATAACTGGTTACCAAATATTTTGAAAAAACCAATAGATAAATTGTAGTAAATCATGTGATTTCAACTGTGAACCCATTTTCTCCAACAATTAACTCTTCTATGAGCCAAATCATCTATTTCGTTCAATATTTGAGAATGAAATGCTCGTAATATGATGTGTTTGTCAGGTAGATGTATCCCTTTTATTCCAATAATGTAATTGCAAAAAAAACAGTAAAATTCAACCCTATTGTACATTTTAAAAGCTTAATTACTCAAAAACTAAACATCAGATTCAGTTAGAAAATGATTTAAAATAACTTTAAAAAGCTTTGCTTTTTAAATTTTATTTGAAACAAGTTGGGTTGTTTTTTGGTAAAGTTACAAAGATTATTTTGCAACCAGTTGCGACCTAGGTTGAAACATCCCAAATTGTAACCTCTTAGTTGCAGACACCAACTTTACACACCTTGATAACTCTTGGTTTAAATATCTGTTTTGATCCGTGATAGTTTATCAATCTATTAAAATAAATATCATAAAAATAAATAAAATCAGTAGCTACCATTGTGGTTATCAAAGAAATAAATTTACATTTAATAATATTATTCTTTTGGGGCACATTCTAATGTATGGATTTTATACTCACAATCCAGGACCACTCATTAAATAACAGAAAACTGACAAATTTAACAGCCCATATCTTTGTAAGTGAATATAGTTTTTTACTTTTGATTTATAATAAATGCTAAAATTTTCCCGGATCGACATTAATCCTTTTTTAACTAGTGGATCACGAATTAACTGTTTTGGTAAAAGAAAGGTTTGTTAGCAAAGCAGACAGCTCCGATTCCAACAAACAAAGAATTAAAGCTAAAAAAAGAGGAATTAATTCAAAGATACAAACTAAACTAGATGGGGGTTTTTTATGTAATATAAGTAATAAAATTATTTTTACGTTTTGAACAATAAAAAAAGCATGAATTTTTTTTATTATATTCTGTACCACCAATTATTCATCAATTATCTGGTGAAAATTTTCCACCCCCGATTAATTAATCATTGAAAAATTTTCAAAACCCCATAATCCTCATTATCTAAAGTCTTTCTCAAAAAACCAAACATCGTCATTCTCCGAATTCATTGAGTTCGTAATCATTATTCACCCTCAAAACACAACTATCTACACCATAACGATATCAATCGGTTTTTTCAAAAATCGTCATTATCCTTGAATCTCTTCTTTCATTGGCCATTTTCGTTATTCTCATTGTTATTCCAAAAAATATCATCAATCATTTTAAAAATCATACTTGATATTAAAATCACAATGATTCTCAAAGGCAATCATCAAATCATAATCTTCATAATCTTCATATCTATGTAACGTAATTATAAAATGGTTGTCTGTGAACACTTCCTTGAAGTCTTAATTTTCTTGACAGACCTAGTTTTCCTTTTTATATCAGTATTATCATTAGAGTCAGCAGTCTTTTGTTGTTTGGATCTAGCAGATTTGGTGACATCAACAATATTTATGTTTTCAATTTCTCTTAATCTCTTTTTATTATCAACAGCTTTTGGTTCGTTTAATTCTTCTTCTAACAAACTGACCCATTCGTCGGTTGTACCTTGCACAAAGTAATCTACCATATCAAACATTTCTTTTGTTTTGACAATGTCAGTTAGATTGACCACAATTATTTTACCGCCTTTTTTATGAATATTCACAGCAAATTGTCTAATTAGATCCTTTATACCAGGTATTTGTAATGATGTACCCATAATTATCATACAATCTGCTTTATTCGAATCTTTTGCTGCAACTTTTCCAATCCGAAGTTCTTGTGAGTGATTATCTCCATATAAAACAATATTCGGTTTGAGAATTCCAATTTTGTGTGACCTCTTACCAGCATTTCTTCTTTTCTGTTCTATTATCAAAAAACATATTAATGGATAATTAAAAGAATCAGAAATATTTTACACAAATGTTAATATGGTATTTACCACTTTGTTCGCATCGTGGACAAGATGGAGATTCGCCTTCTTTAAATCTTTCACAGTGAGATTTACTAAACTCATATACCTCGGAACATGCAGAACATTTGAGAAATTTCATGGTTCCATGTAGTTGGATAGCCTTGGTTGTACAGTTTGATGGTTTTATTACGATTGAATCAGTGGCCAGTCCAGCTACTTCTTCTAGATTGTCTATGTTCTGTGTGTATACTCTTACCAACTTCTTCTTGTCGTCTAGTTTTTTTAAGAAATGGTGAGTGGGAGTTGGTCTGGCATTGTTGATGCGTTCTTTTAAAATTCCCATAAACATGTTAAAGGCTCCTATTGATTTATGGTCCTTTAACATCGTAGTATCAAACAGGTCCTTCCCAGTTCGGAAGGAACCTGGGAATCTTTGTTTAATCATATCATATATTCCACCAGCAGATCTAAAGTCCTAAATTTAAGAAGAAATACATAGAAAAAGAAATGCATAGAAGTAGAAATGTATATACACACACATATAGTTGCGTAATGATAATAATAACAACAAGAGTAAGTTGAATATTCTCATTAATTATAACAATAATAAAATGCATAATAGATGTATCAATAGATATATATTCATAAAAAAAACACGTTAAAAACGGAGAATTTGTTGAATTTAATAATGGTTACCGGAACTCCACCAGAACATGATATTCCTGCGCCCGTAATTACTACGCATTTTTTAGATTGTTTTATAGTGTTGAACGTTTCAAAAAGATGATGATTGTTAATTTCTTGGATGTTGATTTTAACTACCATTTTAAATGTAATATTTTTTTCTTAAAGAAATTTTGAGTAGAGGAAAATTAAGGAGCATTTGGATTATTTATTATTATTAACGTGTTCATGTTGGATTACAGCATAAACGCGTAAAAATTGGTGTAACTTTTCAATGTCAGAATTAAAAATTATCAGGTCAAAAAAAAATTTGTGTTAAAAAAATAATCATGAATTCTTTTCCTAAGATACAATTGATTTGTTGGAGAAAGAAAATATCTTTTTTCCTCTTTATCTCGAAGAAACTTATGTAACAAGTTTTTCGTTGCAAAATCAGTAGCAGGTTTTTCCTGAACAAAATAAATCTCACCTTCTATCTATCGTCTCTTCAGGAAAAAAACCATCCCCTAATTCTGTAAGCGAGCTAGAAGCCATAATCGGTGCTTACACTGCTAATTGCTTGTTTTCCGCGAAGGATCCTAATATAGGTTTGTGTTCATTCAATTGATGATCATTTAGACACGTTAGAGGTTATAACACATTATTAACATATAAAACCTTCTACAAAATCCAAATAATAAAATTTTAAAAATGACAAGGGAAAAAACTTGGATCCAGTCAATGGGTGTATTTTTAGTTTTTCTCCATTAATATGAAGATGAAAAATGATGGTGGTGATTGTAATATCGATTGGTGTAATATTTATTGTTGTTGTTGTTGTTGTTGTTGTTGTTGTTGTTGTTGTTATGTTCTTTGCTTTAGGGGTTTTGAGACATTTTGTCCAATTGGACCAGTAATATCACCAAAATTGATCAAGAATCCGAATTCGCTCGAGATAATATTATGTATAATAGTTAACAAAGAAGCATTACAAAATTCTAACACAAAAGATAAGTATCAAAGAATATGTATTTGGCAAAATACTTTGTTTTTTTATGTATTCAACTATTATTAATTATTTATTTTTCAGGGAATTAATTTACACGTAATATTTGATGTGCCAGATTAATAGTAAAGGAACTGTTTTACAAAAAGGTAATGTGTCATTGACTAGTACACCTGAAGGTATGATTTAGTTATTAAAGAGAGTGAAAGAATTATCATTAAACTTTCTTTCAAAAAAATCAAAAATGTCAAAGGAGTTGGATTTACAAGAAATCCTCTGTTATTTCTTCTAATGATCTACCAGATGTTTCTGGAACCATAAAATACACAAAGAACCATCCAAATGTCATCAGCAATGCATAAAGCCAAAATGTACCCGAGATTGTTATGGTTTCTGTTAATGGCAAGAATGCTATAACTACGCATGAATTCATAAACCAATTTGTTGCTAAATCATAAAAAAAATATTTAAATTAAATTAATAAATCTTTAAATAATTATAAGAATATTAAAGATATACCTGTAGCAACACCAGATGCTCGACCTCTAATATTCAAAGGAAAAAGCTCACTTTGCATTAACCATGGTGCATGGCCAAGTCCTAGTGCATAACCTTTATCAACCATTTAAAAAAAAACTAATTAATTCCCAAACAATAGAAATAATATTATACACACACACACAAAATGCAAATTCGCCTGATATAAAAAGCATCAAAGTGAAAAGAGTAAATAAACTTCCAGCTAAACTGCCATCAGGACATGAATCATAGAATTCTTTATGATCATTTTTTGGTGAACAAATCCCTCCTGAATGTTTACTAAACCCACATCTATCATCAATCACACAAGCAGCACATCTTGTTCCATAATCAATACATGTATCTTGTTTAGGTACAAGTCCAACAATAGAAACAAACCCAATTCCCAGAAGAAATAACCCAATAACAGTTGCTATTATTGTGTATAAAAGTATAGTTCTACGACCTACCCTATCTATAACATATAATGCAACAACTTTACAAGAAAAAAAATTTTTTTATTAATAGAATTATTATGATGTGGATTTGATAATAAGATAACCCTTGTAAATTAATTACCAGTTGTCACAAAATTTGTGATTGATACTAGTATAGAAAATACAATTGCTTCTTTAATGATAGCAAATCCTGCCATTTTTAATATAGTTCCCTAAGATTTTTAAAAAGATCATTTAATTTATCACTAAAATATTATTTATTTGAAATTCAAAATATATATTACATACACCATAATACATGGCTGTATCAAAGCCTGAAAACTGCTGGAGTGTTTGGAGACCACAAGCAATGACTAATGGTCTAAGATTTGGATGATGCAATAATTGTTGATAAGATCCAGTTGAATCTTGTTCAATAGTTTTTTGTATAATTTTTATTTCTATTAGATAATTTATAAACTGTTAATAAAATAATTTATTAATATTTAAAAATAATAATCATTATAATAACATATGTTTAACCTTCATCCAAAAAATTTTGTGGAGCTTTAGGGTAAATTTTATGTAGAACATTCATAGCTTCTCCAAGTTCATCAGACTTTACAAGATAACGTGGACTTTCAGGAACAAATGGCATACCTAAATTCACATAATTACATATATTCTCGTAAATATAGATAAATATAAATGCATATATTTATTCTCACAAAAGCATTATATAATATTACTTACAAATTAGTTGTATTATAGGGGGGATAATGGATACACCAAACATCCATCTCCAACCACCATTAGAAACAAATAAAACACCAACCAAGTAAGCAATAACTTGTCCACTAATAATCAACAAAATATTCATAGTGACAAGATGACCACGATGAAATCTTGGAGATATTTCACTAACATAAATAGGAACTACCATTGAAGCAATTCCAATTGCTAACCCAATCACAAATCGACCTATAACTAAATAATAATATGTATCAGCAAAAGTTATGATAAGAGAGCCTACAAGAAATACAATGGCTGCAAGTGTAGATGTAATTCTACGTCCAGAAAAATCTGATAAAGAACCTATTTAAATATATATATTTGATGTGATAATTATTACAGCTTATTATTATTATTATTATTACTACTACTATTATTATCTTTAAAATATTATTATTATTATTTTCATCATTATCAATTATTTACCAGCTCCCAATCCACCAAAAAATGCACCAATTGTTGTTGCTAAACAAAACCAAAATTTTGTAAGTTAACATTGATTGAAAAAAAAACAATTGTTTCAAATAAAATAAATTTTGATCATTCACCTCCAACTACCATTCCTTTTTGAAAAGCTGTCATAATAAATTCATGTTCAATTAGCAACATTGCAGCACTAATTACACCTGTATCAAATCTAAAAATATTTAATTTTTTTTTTTTTATAAAAAAACTAAACGCATATTACAATTAATTCACACATATAATATATAATACCCAAATAAGAATCTACCAATAGTTACAATTAAAGCTGAGATGACTACAAAGGGAGTGATTTTAGCAGTTTTTTCAAAATTTCTTAGAACAGGTTCATCAAAATGTTGATGAAAATGATAGTTGAGAGAAGTATTATGTGACAAGCTATCATAGTCTATATCATCATCTGAAGTAGAAATTTTTGGACTTGTTGCTTGAATTTCATTGTTTTCTTCTAATAGAGGTGTATAGGATGTGTATGACTATGTTGACAATTATATGGTTTCAATTTATACATGGCATGATCAATTTTATAATAATATAACACAAACACACATACATCATCATCATTGATTCCTCCCTTTCCATTTTTTTTTTCTTTTTTTATTAAGTAAAGTTTTTTTTATTCAAGGACACAAAAAAGGATCCAATGCATCCAAACAAAATATGTATGCTAGATGGATCAAAATTATGATCTTTTGAAACTCGAATAAAGCTTTTTTTTAAATTTAGCATTCAAGCTTGTTTTTAGGAAATTTATGTGAAGTGAATTGAAAAGGAAATTTCGAGGATTCATATTTTAGTGATCAGCGTCCAATGAATTAACCAATGAAATTCAATTAAAATGTAACACAAATAAAATTCATTGGCCAACGAAAATGCAACGTGAAAAATGACCAAATTTGGAAAGACTTTTTCTAATAGTGTTCCAGGAATTTTATCGATTAATTTTAACAAGCATTCTTAAGGCTAGTGGTAATTCTTAAATAATTGTGAGAAAAAATAATTAATACATTATAAAAGAAACTCAATTATTATAATGCTTTTTATTTTTTTATTTTACCAATTTCCATTAGCCAAACGTTCAATATTCTTTTTTCATTAGAATAATTGGGATTAATAAGAATATTTTCATCAGTTGATGTTTATTTTGGTTGCACCCAGCATTTGATCATTGGATCATTTCAATACCCGTTTTTTACAAAAAGATTTTACGGTTTCTTTTTATATTTCGTATTTTTAATTTTATAAAGGATTAAATAAATAAATAAAACAAATAAATTGCGAAAAGCTACATCCCAACAAGAAAATTTGCCATTTAAATTAATTAAAATTTTGTTACCACCTAGATGGAATTGGTTCTAGAATGATTTTGTTGTCAAACATTTTTATGTTTATATTTATATAATAATAAAAGGCTTGTACTTAATAATCGCCAAAGAGTTTTAAAATAATCATCCCAGATTCCAAAAAAAAAGTAAATGAGGGCCAAAAGAGAGGAAATTCATTAGGAAAGTCCTAACCTTTGCTTATTAAACAAATAAAACGTGGCTTTTTACCAAAGCATTTGCATAAAAATAAATTTTAAAAAATATTATTTGATGGTTTTATTTTATTAGATGTTAACGTGGTATTTATTCTCTTCAAGTGAGGACCTGAACAAAGTTAGTTGTCAATTAGTATTAGCTCAAGCAATCATTTTATAATTCTAAAATAAAATACAAAAAAAAAAAAAAATAATAAATTGTAATTTATATTTAATCAGCTTTTTTTTTCCCGTATATTCTATGTAGATAATAATAATTAAATATAATTTTTAAATAAGGAATAATGAAATACTAAGGAAGAGAGAAATAGATATTTACCTAAAATTTTTTTGATAAGTTTTATACTTTATAACTTCTAAAG